GGGGGGGGGGTGGGGACCCTGTGACAGTGTCACTGAGGGGAGGGGGTGGGGACCCTGTGACAGTGTCACTGAGGGGAGGGGGTGGGGACCCTGTGACAGTGTCACTGAGGGGAGCGGGTGGGGACCCTGTGACAGTGTCACTGTGGGGAGCGGGTGGGGACCCTGTGACAGTGTCACTGAGGGGAGGGGGTGGGGACCTTGTGACAGTGTCACTGAGGGGAGGGGGTGGGGACCCTATGACAATGTCACCGAGGGGAACGGTTGGGGACCCCGTGGCCGACAGCATCAATGAAAGAATTCTGAGAGACAGAATATATCTGCCCTTGGAGAAATAAGAATTAATCAATGATTGTCAGCATGGATTTGCTAATGGAAGGGCATCATCGACAAATTTGATCGAATTTTTTGAGGAGGTATCCTGGCGTGATGATAAGGGCAGTGCGCTTAATGTGGTCTACATGGACTTTGCCAAAGCTTTTGATAAGGTGCCTCACGGCAGGCTAGACAAGAAAGTAAGCGTCCATGAGATCCAAGGCAAAGTGGCACATTAGATCCAAAACAGCTGAGAGGCAGGAAGCAGAAGTTAGATGGTAGAGGGATGTTTCTGTGACTGGAAAACTGTTTCCAGTGGAGTTTCACGGTGTACAATGTTAAGGCCCTTGCTGTTTGGGGTGTATAATAATGACTTGGACTTAATTGTAGGGCATATAATGCAGAAGTTCACTGGTGACCCAAAAATTAGTCAAAGGGTAAATAGTGAGGAAAATAGCCGTAAACTACAGGAGGATGTCAACAGTATGCTCAGCGGAAGACAAGTGGCAAATGGAATTCAATCTGGAAAAGTATGAGGTAGTGTGGAGGGTTAACAAAGCAATGAACTACATCATGAATGGTAGGATCCTGAAGTTCAGAGGGACCTTGGCTTGCGTATCCACAGATCCCTAAAGGTAGCATTAAGGAGATAAAGTGGTTTGGACAGTATATGGCAGACTTGCCTTTATTAGCCAAGACATAGAAAAAAGATATGCTGGAGCTGTATAACATGGGCAGGCCATAACTGGGGTACTGAGCGCAGCTCTGGTCACCACATAATGTGAAGAATGTGATTGCACTAGAGAGGGTGCAGAGTCAATTTACCAGAATGCTGCCTGGGCTGGAGTTTCTGAGATATGAGGAAAGATTAGATAGTTTGGCGTTGCTTCCCTTGGACCAGTGAAGGTTTTTAGGGAATCTGATAGAGGGATGTAAGATTAAGAGAAGCAGAGATAGAGTTGATAGGAGGTACTATTTCCAATAGTAGAAGGATGAATAACCAGGGAATGTGGATTTAAGGTACAAGGCAGAAGGCAGAAGGTTAAGGGGACAGTTGAGGAAAAAGTATCTCACACAGAGGATGGTGGGAGTATCTCACTCAGAAGACAGTGGGAGTCTGGAACTCACTGCCTGAAAAAGTGAGTGTGTCAGAAATTCTTGCAACATTTAAGCATTATTTCGATATTTACTTGTGAACCCATAGCCTCCAGGGCTATATGCCAAGAGCTGAGAAATGAGATTAATGTAGTCAGATCTATTTTGAACAGTGCAGAGACGATGGGCTGAATGGTCTCCTTCCTGTGCAGTAAATTACTATGAATGAATCTGTAAATGTTGGCTATGGCGGGAACTGTGGCAGAATTGCATGACCCATCTAGTAAGGCCTACCTTGATGTTCGAAATAGCTCTTTGCTACTTTTAAGAAAGTTTCGGACATCAGAGTGGGATTCTTACTGGATAGTGGCAAGTTGGCTATTTAGGGAGTTTGTTGCTTCTAGCCAATGAGAGGGACAGGTCAGGTTGAATCTTCAATGAAGGTATGCTCCATGTGTTGAGAATCAGCCTAGACTTCTTCAATATTTCAGACTACAATTTAATATACACAGTCTTATATGCAGTAAGACAAATCAAAGGAGTTCCATCCGCAAAAGAGCTTTGAGATAGCCAAGGGAGCCCCGAGATAACTCAATTTGCATATAACACACTCTGTAGCCAAACAAAAAGCCAGATGAACATAGTGACAAGTGAGTATTTGAGAAATGTATTTATATCACAATTTGTTCCTCCTTGCAATGGTACAGCAAAAGACATTGAAAAATGTTGGGAGTTAGTTCAGGAAAAACTACAGAAAATAATGTAAAAAAATGTCACCACTACCGATGTCACCACAACCAGCACTTCAGATTATTTGAATTTGATTCATTGCGATTCTGCTGTAATTCACATTCTCACTTCCTTTCACAATCCTCTCCACTGGCTGTAAGATACAAGTCAGAAGTATGATAGAATACTGTCCATTTGTTTGGATTGATACATTTTCAACAATACTCAAGAAGGTCAACACCATCCAGAACGAAGTATTCCATTTGAATGACACCCCGTCCACCATCTTTAGGGCAGCACGGTGGCTCAGTGGTAGCACTTCCGTCTCAAAGCGCTAGGGACCCAGGTTTGATTCCACCCTCAGGCGACTGTCAGTGTGGAGTTTGCACGTTCTCCTCGTGTCATCCTCTGGATGCTCTGGTTTCCTCCCATGGTCCAAAGATAAGCAAGTTAGGTGGAATGGCCATGCTAAATTGACCATACTGTCCAGGGATACGCAGGTTAGGTGGATTAGCCATGAGTAATGGAGGGTGACAGGGACAGGGTAGAGGATAGGGCTGGATGGGATACTCTTCAGAGGGTCAGTGTGGACTCAATGGGCCGAATGGCCTGCTTCCACACTGATTGAACATTCAGTCCCTTCACCACCAGTGCACACGGGTAGCAGCATCTGTCACCTACAAGATGCACTGCAGCAATTCACCCAGGCTCCTCTACAACAGCTTCCAAACCTGCAACATCTACCACCTGGGGGCCACAGGGAAAACCACTACCAGCCCTCCAGGGTCACATGGACTTAGAACTGTGTCACTCTACCTCACGGTGATGAAATCAAAAACTTGGAAGTGCCTCCTTAACTGGACTGTGATCATCCCCAGACCATAAAGACATTTTTAAAAATTCATTTGTGTGATGTGGTCATTGCTGGCTAGGCCAGCATTTATTTCCCATCCCTAGTTGCCTTTGAGAAGGTGTGCTGCCAACTTGAATCACTGCAGTCCTCCTGCTGTGGGTTGACCCAGGATTTTGACCCAGCAACAGTGAAAGAAAGGCTATATATTTCCAAGCCAGGATGGTGAGAAGCTTGAAGGAGAACTTGAAGGTGGTGGTGGGTTTGGAAGGTGCTGTCTGAGGATCTTTGGTGAATTTCTGCAGTGCACCTTAGTAGATAGTACACACTGCTGCTACCGAGCACGGTGATGGATCAGAGATAGTAGGAACTGCAGATGCTGGAGAATCCGAGACAACAAGGTGCAGGGCTGGATGAACACAGCAGGCCAAGCAGCATCA